AAACTTGTAAAAATAGAGGTTGTAAAACGCATTAGGCCTTTATATACAATTTATCGGTCAGCCTTTTATAAACGAATGTGGTTACAATTTTCATATATAAATAGTATATTTGATGTAGTGAATATTCCTCTCATTCACTGGTAAGTCATGTTTCTGAACATGTGCTCTCATGCACACGTCCCCGTGATTTTTCGTGTATGATTTGTACGCCTGCGGGCCACTGTCAGAACCTTTGCAAAAGAATTTACTTCAGATGTTCCTGACAACGGTCCTCTGATTATGAACTCACGTTTTTATATTTATTAGTACATATATTACAATTACGTATATTGAAGTCCACGCGCGTGTATTAGCACATGCTTTCACGATTGAAATACTTTTTAATAAATAAACTAACTAAAACTTTCGAGGTACTTTTTATATGATGGCAATTATTTAAAAGATGTCCACAATAATTTGTAAAGTAAGCTCTACATATTTCAGTAAAGAGTAAAGTAGTAGGATAGTACAGTGCAGTGAATCATTGGTTGCGGCGGTGGGAATCCCCGCATGTGGAGTAGAATAAACTAGAGCAGTAGAGCAGTATAGTAGAGTACAGAGTATTAGAGCAGTAGAGCAGTATAGTAGGGTAGAGTACAAGAGTATTAGAGCAGTAGTGCAGTAGAGCAGTAGAGTACAGTGCAGTAGAGCAGAGTAGAATGCAGTTGCAGGAGTTGTTGTTGTTGTAGAAGTTGTCGTTGCGTGGACATTGACTTGACCTTGACCGTGACATTGTTCTTGACCGTGGCCTCGACCAATTTTTCCATTTCTGTGGCCTTGAGGTCAAGGCCATGGTCTTGGGCTCAAGGCCATTACATTTTCCAATTTGTAAAATTTTTCGTGGCCTTGAGTTCAAGGCCATGGCCTTGGGCTCAAGGCCATTACATTTTCCAATTTGTAAAATTTTTCGTGGCCTTGAGTTCAAGGCCATGGCCTTGGGCTCAAGGCCATTACATTTTCCAATTTGTAAAATTTTTCGTGGCCTTGAGTTCAAGGCCATGGCCTTGGGCTCAAGGCCATTACATTTTCCAATTTGTAAAATTTTTCGTGGCCTTGAGTTCAAGGCCATGGCCTTGG